CCTGGACTTAATTATATAATTACATAACAGATCTAGTAACTGCTTCAGAGGAACCATTGTAATCTATGAGGCATCTAAGATGGTCCTTAAAGAACATCCAAGTGCATAATTACAATGCCTAATAGACCAGAATAACAGGTAACAGCAGAATCTGTAGAACCATAAGAGAAGCCCGTGGCCACCGGGATATGTAATTGTAGTTATACAAATAACCTCACCATTATGTCATTATGTCACAGCTCCTAGTGGCAAAGGACATATTAATGCCACATATCATAAATATTATATGCATTTTGTCTTTTTAACCACTAATGACTCTTTAATTTTCAAAATATGCGGAAGGGAATGTCTTTATTCTGGGAGACAGAAGAAAATTATGATCTTTTAGTTGTAGAATATCTGTCTTGGACTTTGAATAGAAAAAATGAAAGGTTGCAAAACATATCAAATTAATTATCATAGAGCATGCATGTTAATAACTGGATTACAAAAACATATTTAAGATAATAAATTCAGGATGTGATGCTTGCATATTTGAACCTGGGTATACTGTTTTCTGAGTAGTAATAAAATATATTAAGAACAAACCTGCTAGGCATGGTGGCACATACTTTTAATCCCATAGATCTAACTCACAGATCTCTGTGAGTTCCAGGCCAGCCAGGGCTTCGTAGTGAGACCATGTCTGACTTTAAAACATGTTGACAATCACATCACACATGATGGTAGCTTTTTCTGAATGATAGAAACCCCACACAAATCTGAGCATTTCACGCAAAGTAGGAGTGAATCTGAACCAAGACCAATTTCTTATATTTCCATGTTGGCAATATTCTTCTTCAATATCTGTTGAGACATGTCTATGTGAATATGAAACCTTTCACTGTATTTTTGTAGGATTCATAAAAATCTGCTTTAGTTCCATGAGTAAGAGGCTTTTTATTGTGTGCTGCAAAGGATTTACTTTGCGAAAAATTCCAAAGCCTGTAAGCATATGATATCGTGAATATTTCTTAGCCATTGTAATATTTCTTACCAAAGTTCATGTCTGGTGACAAACCAAGAACACAACACCATGAGACAAAACTAGGGTATGTACTTTTCCTATGCTTTCTACACTTTCGTTTACTTTGCCTGGAAATTTACATCATGGGTAAAATTCTAGTGGAACCTGCAATGGGCCTAGGCTTGTATTTTCCAAGACCATTGGTATGTAGATAAGTAGTTGGTACTCACAGATGAATATTTCAAATGAACAACAGAGGCAGAGCCAACAGCTTTGGAGAAAAATTTCTCAAGGCAATTTTGTGCTAAAATTATGCAAGTTGTAGTCATGATACATATTTAAACAATGAACGTTTAAACAATACAGTTTTTCTTCACTTTGGGATAGTTATGATAATATGGTTAAAACATTTCCATGCTTTGTAATATGTCTAATAAGAAGTCAAACTGTGCTTGAGATGAATAAGGCTCTTATCTGGACACATCTTTTTCTTTTGAACACAAGCATAATGGCATTCAGCACCCATACTGCGAAAATGAGTTTGTGCTTGTGATTATTCATATTTATTATCTTCATATCTCAGTAAATATGGTTTCTTGTTTTGTGATGCTTGAAAGTGTTTTGTTAAGTGTCACTCCATTCTTCAGACAGATGAGATATGAACTACACTTTATATGTGCTAACTCCACATTGTGAGAGAGTAATGTCCCCACCTTTGTCTGTCTCCTCAAACACAGCTAAGCGACCACAGCCATGGGTGTTTCCCCTTCACAGTAATTCTTTTTCAAGATACAAGATAAGCAATGTCTAGATACGGTCATGAAGGAGTAACATGGACTGTATTTAGTCTTTCACTTTAATAGATGAGGAAGCTAAAAACAGGTGAATTCATGGTTCTCAGATATTATATGATAGACCATGCAAGATTTTCCTCTGATCATGAAGTAATCTGGTGACTGTCCTAATTTACCACACAGAGGGTACAGTTAGGGGATTAGCTAAAGCCAGGGACACCCATGGAGTCTCAGAGACACTGGCCTGTGTTTGAGCAGATCTTGTGGAACAAGAAAAACTTTGTTTTGGCCTAAATCTGAAATATCCTATGATGGTTTGAGAATGGCCCCCATGGGCTCATATTTTTGAATACTTGGTTCCAATTGGTGGAACTGCTAGGGAAGGATTAGTGGGTGAGAATTCACTGTGAGTGGGGTGGAATTTGTGGTTCCCAAAGCTCACACCATTTCCAGTCAGCTCCTTCTGTCATTCTGTGCTTGTGGATGAGATGTGAACTCTTAGCAGTAGCTCATTGCCAGGTCTGCCTGCCTGCTGCCATACTCCCTGCCAGGAGAGTCGTGGACTCTCATTCTCTAGAACCGTAAGCCCTAATAAGCTTTTGCTTCTCTGTATTGTCTTGGCCATGGTGTCTCTTATGGTAGTGGAAAAGTAACTTAAGACAGTCACCCACATGTTCAAGTGTTCTCGTTCAGCTGTTGTCAGCCTGTGCATCCTTTGGATGTTGAATGACTCTTTCACAAGGGTCACATATCAGATACCTTGTATATCAGAACATTATGATTCATAACAGCATCAAAACGACAGTTATAAAGTAGCAGTGAAATGATTTTCTGGTTTGGGGGGTCACCACAACATGAGGCTCTGTATTAAAGGTTCTCAGCATTAGAAAGGTTGAAAAACCACTGTCTAGTTGTTGGCTGTGGTTTAGAAGCTGGAGCATCACTGGATGAAGTAGGTCACAGAGGGCAGGCCTTGATGTCTACAGCCTGGACTCACTAGTTGTCCACCTTGCTTTGTGGCGGCCATGTGGTCACCTGCCTTGCTATCTTGCTGCCATCCCTCCTCTGTTAAGATAGACTGTGTCCCCTTAAAAAGCACAACACCATACTCTCTTAGGTTGATTTTTGCCAGATATTTGACCATAGCAGGGAAATGAACTAATCCATCCACAAACCAGAGGTTGAAATGCCTGTAGGTGGGTTCTTTGAAGCCCTTGGTATAGCAATGATGTACTAATGAATGAGAATTTTTATTCAGGACTGAAAACAGAACCACTGGAAACTAGTAGACTGGACAACTCCAGAAGTTAATTGTGGAATTTTTTCTGTCTTGTCAACCATAGAGTAGCTATGTCTTAATGAAGATGAGGCATTGATCGAAATAGTCAAAGAAAATTAGTGGTGAAGATAAATTATCCCTAGGACAAAAGTTGTTCTGAATCTTCCCTATAAAGGCTTGAAAATAATCCTATAAAGACATCAGTAATCCTAAAACGTTTAGCTGCATCCCACACAAAAGTCAAAATATTAAAAATACGTGTAAACAAAATTTAAACAATAAAAGAAGAAAGAAAAGTGGAAAGAGAAGATGATGTGGGGATATGGTTTAGGAGATCATAAAATAATTTAATGTATTTGTGTTTTTAGGCATGATCTCACTATGTAGACCAGGCTGGCCTAGAGATCACAAACCTCTGCCTGCCTCTTCCTCCCAAGAAGCTTGAATTAAAGGACGTCTCCTCTTTTCCTTCTGGTTCCCTTCTCATCTCTTCTCCCTTCCCCTCCCTCCTTTCCTCCTGCTCCCTGTCTGTCTCTTGTTCTCTCTCTTTTTTCTTTGCTTTTTATAACTTGAGCTCTATGAGGCTTCAGAGCTAAAACACCACCTAAAAAGATGAAGGGGGCAACCAGAAGCCTTGGGTAGCAAGAAAAAAGCAAGGAAATAACAGATTCTGTGCTTCAAGTTTGTACGTGAGAGCTCAGTAAGGAAACCACTGAAATGGCCACCCCAGAGTTAAGGGGAAGGACTTTTATTGTGGACAAGAAAGAAAAGAGAGAATATCCAGAGGCATCTAGAAGAGTCCAGAGCAGAGAGAAAAATAAGATTTGTAAATAGGAGTCTGGAGACCAGTGTGACCTTGTAAGTAACCACAGGTGCATGTCAACAGAGAGCCACTTGTCCCTTTTTGGCAGGCAGGAGCTCTGGCTGTAAGGTTTTAGCAGTCTTTTTGTAGTCCAGTTTGAGATGAGCCAAGATTGTCATTTCAGTACTTTCTGAGACCTAAAAAAATGGATCATGCCTTATAAAAGGGTTCACAAGAGAAAGCAGTTATTTTTTCCCCTTTTTAAAATTTAAATTAGAAACAGTCTTATTTTATATATCAATCCCAGTTCCCTTTCCCTCCCACCCTCCCATGTGAGAAAGTAGTTCTTAACTGCAAAATGAATACATATTCTGGCTCAGAAATACTACATATCAGGGTTCAGAGAGCATATGCTACCAGGATTGCTGAATGGCCACTGACGATCTAATCCCACTTTCTTCTTACTTGCTAGTGTATAGAAATGCCATTGATATGTTGACTATTAATTCCAAGTTACTGCTAAACTTTATTAATCAATTAATTAATTTTTAAATTTTAAATAGCTTGTTTTACATGTCAATCCCAGTTCCTTCTCCCTCCCCTCCTCCCGCAACCCCCCCGTTATCCCCTCCATCCTCCCACCCTATTGCCAATTCCTTCTGCATAGGGGATATCTAGAGTCTATCATTTCATTCAGGGTAGGGTCCAGGCACTTCCCTAAGAGTCCAGGAAGAGAGAGCAACCCTCTTTGTGTTATGGACACACGATGTCTGTTAGTATTCGAGGGATAAACACTGATCCACTGCTCAGGACCCCATAGGTAGCCCAGGCCTCCTCATTGACTCTCACATTCAGGGGGTCTAGATCGGTCCCATGCTGGCCTCCCAGCTGTTGGTCTGGGGTCCAAGAGCTCTCCCCTGTTCGGATCAGCTGTCTCTGCTGGTTTTGTCAGTCCATTCTTTGCCAATTTGCTCTTCACTCCTCTTTCTCTGTTGCTGGGTTCCTTGGGTTCTGTTCAGTGTTTAACGGTGGTGTTTGCCTCTGCTTCCATCAGTCACTGGATGAAGGCTCCAGGATGGTTATAGACATCAAGTTCACTATCAGGAATGGGCATTCGAGGTGCTCGCTTCGGCAGCACATATACTAAAATTGGAACGATACAGAGAAGATTAGCATGGCCCCTGCCCAAGTTACTGCTAAACTTTTACTCATTCAAGTATTTGAAAATACTTGAATCACTTTGTCAGCCTGGAAAAAATCTTTCTTACTTCTTTGCAATCATTACAATGTTTAAGAGAGCTGGGTGGTGGTGGCCCACACCTTTAATCCCAGCACTTGGGAGACAGACAGGAGGATCTCTGTGAGTTTGAGATCAGCCTTGTCTACAAGAGCTAGTTCCAGGACAGCCTCCAAAGCCACAGAGAAACCCTGTCTCTAACTCCCCCCCCCCAAAAACCAATGTTTAAGAGAATTCTGAGGTATGTAGGATGCTCAATCCTGGTTTTTAAAAATTCTACATTTTAAACCTTCATATAGCATTGAATATTGCCAGTTTTGGTCAAATACAATTAATAAGATGATTTTCCCATTTGCTAAGACTTGACTTTTAAGTATAGGCAAGCTTTGTGTATTATATTTACTTTCCCTTTATCTATTGAGATATTCTTCTTTTTTATTTAATAAAGATTAATGAATACTCTCATTTCACTGAGTTCTCACATTATAGCATAAACTCAACTATGTTTCAGATTCCATTGTGTTTCTTAGAACCTGCTTCTTGGGGAATACAACCTAAAAATGAAAGATTGTGGATGAGATCCTAAGATGAATGAATTGTTGCTAATTAATGTCAGCCAAAATGGATGTTTTAAGTAAACACAGTAGAGATTAATCTTTGAACACTTAGTCCCTAGCTGCTGAGACCATTTGGGAAGGATTAGGAGTTGTGACATTGTTGGAGGCGGTGTGTCGTTGGGGACAGGTTTTGAGGTTTCAAAAGATTCATGCCACACTCATGTGTGCTCTCTTTCTTGTGCTTGTGGATCAAGGTATGAACTCTGAGCTGCTGCTTCAGCACTGAGCCTGCCTGCCTGCTGCCATGCTCCCATTGTGATGGTCATGGACTCTAACTTTCTAAAACCACAAACCCTAAATAAATTCTTTATTCTATAAGTTGTCTTGGTAATGGTGTCTAATTACAGGAATAAAAACATAGCTAATACAATCAGAAAAGATAATTAGCTTCTATTTGGAAAGGCTTGACATGTTGGAGGGAAGGAATTAAACCTGCCCAAATTACCTTCAGTGTCATTTGTGTCTAATCCAAAGCATTGAATATAGTAGGAGCTCAATAAATGTTTGTTGGACACATGAAAAAAAATCAAGGACAATGTGTCTTCAACTTACATAACTGTACAGCTGAGATAGACACACACCTTTTTAAACTCCTGTGCATATTCTTCATTTTCTCCATCTCATAACTAGATTACACAGAACTAATTTTTGTCCTATGCAATACTTCTTATATACATAATTGCTATTTTAAATACAAACTATGATTATGAGTAAACAGATGCTTATCTCCTTCATGCCAGTTCCCAAATAACCACTCAGAGACTGAATATGAATTACAAATGCTTGGCCAATAGCTCAGGCTTATTACTAACTAGCTCTTACACTTAAATTAATCCATTTATACGCTGCCATTTTGTGGTGCCTTCATTAGCAAGACTTGCTCATCTCATGCTCCCTCTTCATCTGCCTGGTGACTCCTTTACTTTACCCTTCTCCTTCCCATCATCCTTAGTTTAGTTACCCTACCTATACTTCCTGCCTGGGTACTGGGCAATCAGCATTATATTAAAACAATTCGAGTGATAAATCTTTACAGTGTAGAAGAGAATTATTCCATAGCAATTATGAGGTTGATAACCCTGGATAATTACAGTCCTATATTTCTTACATATTACATTTTAATTATCTTATATCTTAATTTCATATGAACTGTTCCTGAGCTTATTATATATAGATGAGACAGCATCTCTGGTTTTCTTTAGTCTTCCATCCTGGCTTCTATCTTCTCCTCTGTATCATTCTTGGCTTGTCTCAAACTTCAATGCCTTTAAATCTCCAAGTGCATTGTTCAAATTCATGATATAAAAATGTCAGGGTAGCTGTGTTATTTCCTGGCACAAGCATTTTTCTGGTTCCTGGATCATGTTGTTTAAGAGCATACTTTGGATGTAAATAAGGTTAATTTGTATAATGAAAAGCACATAGCTCCTTTCGTGGCTGGCTGAGCTTGTTGAGACCTTTGTCTTATCTAATCCCATGGGTATAGATGGAGTTTCTTTTCTGGCTGATTCTGCAGCCATTTGGTCCCAAATAAATATACAGAGGCTTATATTAATTATAACCTGTTTGTCCAATGGCTCAGGCTTCTTATTGGCTCACTTTGTCTTATTATTAATACATTTCTATTAAACTGTGTATCTCCATGTGGTATTGACTTACCAGAGAATGATCTGGCATGTTACTCCTTCAGCAGCTATATGGCATCTCTCTGGCTTCTCCTATCTGTGTCCTCTCCCCAGAATTCTCCTTGGCTGGAAGCCCCACCTATACTTCCTGCCTGGCTACTGGCCAATCAGTGTTTTATTCATCAACCATTAGGAGAAACATATATACAGAAGGAGGTAATACCCATCACATGAGAAACTGTTAATTTTATGGTTGGTGTGACCCAGTATCCAACAAGAAGGAGCTTGAGAGTGGAAGGATTATGTTGGCTTATAGGCAGTGCATCATGGTGGGTAAGATATGGCAGTGGGACATCCAGGAAGCAGAGAGGGGACAGGAAGTGGAATGGACCTATAAAATTCCATGACCCTGCTCTCAGTTGCCCATTTCCTGAAAGACTCCCCAAGGCCTGTGTCCATCTGGGAACCAGGTGTTGGATCCCATGGGGCTGCAGGGGGGCAGGGAGGGGGACATTTTACAATCAAACCACATCAGAGACATTAAGGTTGGAATTTAGTTTTTGTAGAGATGACTGTGTGTTAGTGCTTACAAAGAACCCATGAAGAGACTAGAACCTCTAGCTTGTCTTTTTTCAGGCTGTGATGACCACTTTTATTAGTCCATGCACCTTGTTCTTCCCTTGAATGGGAACAAATTAGCAGTCTTTCTTGGGGAGGGGTGTCAGCGTCTCTCCCAGGACACTGGGGCCTTACTTTATAAAATCTGATAGCTTGTCTGTACATCCTTCCAGTCAGTTTAAGTTGCATCTTTTAGGACTTAATGTTGTGTGCAATGCATGGTGCTTACTGGTGGACCACAGGTTAAGTTTCTGTCCTGAATAATAGTTTCTCAGAGATAGTACAGTAAGATGCTGTTGCCTTGTTTCCAATAGTCATTCATTCGTTCATTCTTTCTTTTTTAAGACAGAGTCTCATACTGTAACACTGTAGCTCAAGTGGCCTGGAATTCATCATTTAGCTCAAACAGGCCTCAGACTTACTGATATAACCCCCCACCCCCACCCCTCCTGAATTTTGGTGTTACAGGCATGTGCCAGAGTTTCCAACACACTTTGTGCTTGAACACTATTTCAGAACACAGCAGATCACAGCATACAACCAGTTATATTCCTAAACCATAATAGATTTTGCACTTTGTTGTATTCTCAAGGATTTTAACCTTGCAGAAGAGCAGTTCAGAATCCATTATGATCTGGAAAATGTAGAACTGGATGATGTCTCTAATTTGGACAGCTCTGCAAACTCCTACGGCCTCTGTTTCTTTAAAAGAAGGGAGGATTGGCTCATTGTTCAGGTTCTTTCAGGATGAGATGTTCTGTAGATGTACGACAGAGAAAAGTTTTCAAGAGTTGCTTTGTCTCTCCTTGCCCTCCCCTCCTTACCCTCTGCAAAGGCACCCTGATCATTTCTCCTTCTCTTTGGGCCTGATTGTCTCTTCTTGTTTATAGCTGCCACTAATTCGCTCGTGTGCTTGCTGGAAAATAGCTAATTAAAACCCACTTCAGCTAACAAGCTGACTGGGACCATGCAAATGTCACTCTGTGCTGTCTGCTATTTCCATTTATACTTTACATTATTAGTGTTGTTTTTCCTCTCTCTGTCATAATGAATGCAAGGATAGATTTAGCGCCCTCTTCACAGGTGTGCACCAGTACAACAGCCACCATCCCGGGAAAGTACCACTGGGTTACTGCACTTCAGCACGTGGAGTGTTATTACCCTGCCAGTTAATGGTTTTCGCCTGTGTTGCTTGTTACTGCTAAATTTTTGAACAGCTTCATCTATCTTTTTGTTTTTTACAGTGACTGGCCACATTAAGAATATGGGTATGAGCTATTAGTCCCTTCTGTTCGTCTCCTGTATTTCATTTGGTGTAGGGTTCTTTTTTTCTCTCTAAAATTAGTATGTATTGTCATCCATATACTTCAATGCATTGACTTTTGTTATAATTATGCTGTCATCATTGTGCTTCCACACATTTGCTAATTTATTGTAGCTAAATTAGACCTAATATTAGCAATTTTGCAGCTGTTCCTTAGATCATACATGGCCATATATTTTATGCAATTTGGTAATTATATTTCACAGCAAAAAAAATCACACACATTTTTGAGTGGGAAAGAGTGAAAAGATGGAAATGGGCGATATTATAAAAAGACCAGTTCTCTTGGGAATGGAAAAGTCTAGGGCAAGGATGTAGAGAAGAAAATGCATTCCAGAAAAGCTGTGTAGAGTAAACCCCAGAGGAAAGGAGATCTGTGAGTATGCTGGGCTGTGCCAGGCAGAGAGCAAGCTGGTCATTGACAAGAAGGACAGGTGGGCAGGGAAGGCCTCTGCTATGCTCTGTTGTCTCTGTGAACCTGCTTCCACTGGGACAGATGCAAATAGGATACCATTAGGACATGGGGGGAGGGTTTCCATGCAGACTGTGAAGCCCATCAGAAGAGCTCAGGCCTTGTGGCTGCTTCTACGAAAATACAGTATCCAGTGTACTGAGGTGGAAAACTGAGAATTTTGAATGAAGAAGGTGCTTGGATGGGAGAATATAAAGCTGGGAAACTGTTTGAAACTTCGTGTTGTTTCGATTAGTGGAGGATCTGCTTTGTTTCTATTTGAAGATAACATTAAAAGAAATGCGAAAAGGGGCTGGCAATGTGCTCCGTGTGTAAGCTGCTATCTGTGT